GTAGGGGAGGCACTCCAGGAGCAGAGAAATTCAAGTCCACTTAGAGTGTGGTAGGTCTATGGTCGCTTCCTCCTGGTTGGTTTGCCACCAGTCGCTGTTTAGAGTTAGCTAGATTATTTGCAGCAAATGCTAAGTCCGGAAAGGTAGTTGATTTCCAGGTTCGTGAGTAAAAAGTAGAAGGGTCATCAGGTTTATTAGTAAATTGAAGGAAGACTTCAGTGACATGTTTCAACTTCCTTCCGGACAGATTCGGTGCGGACAAGGTGCTGCTCCATCATAAAAGTGCACAACCGTGTACCGGGCCACACTACAGTTAACCCAGTTCTATTCCAAAAATTAAAAATTTCCTTAAATCATGTAAATAGAAAAATAATAAATTGTAATTAATAAAAGTGTTGCTTATTGGCAGTAGTTGGCGTACGAGAACCCAAACGTATTAACCCACTGCTGCCAAAACTCCGTATGGCAGCAATGCCAGGTAGGGAGAAAAAAAAAAAAAAAAAAAATGTTTCAACTTCCTCGCCTCGTTGATCCAAATCTCAAAATCCCCACGAAGGAAAGCAGGCATTGAAATCACGTATTACAATGCAGTTGTCCTCTGGAACGTCAATTGCTTGAAGAGAAAGCATTTTTTCATTGGGGCAATAGTAATTGTACAGTTTCAATTGTTTATCACCGATTTGGATCAATGTTCCAATGATCTCTGCTTCAATGTTTTGATGCTCGTCTCTTAAAGGTATGTCCTTAGTTGGGAGAGAGTTTCGTATCATTATGAGGATACCACCTTTATTTTGAACAATGCGATTTTTCCTGAAAACTAGGTAGCCTTTCACACTAAATCGTAGGTTGGTGTTTAAATAGGTCTCCTGTATGCACATTATGTTGATAGCCTCTTGATGGATTCTTTTAATAAGACTCAGTTTCTTCTTAAGCAGGTCTTCTGAATTCCATTGCATGATTCAGAGGCAGAACTCCTCTCCCTGGCCCCGACTCCATGACCGGGAGGGAATTTACCACCGGTAGCTCAAAAGAGGCCCCTCCGAGTAGAGCCTGATGCTCTGCTTGCCCGGTGGGAATCCACAAGAAGAGCACCTCGTTCAATAGCATTTCGTCTAGTTTTAGCCATAATTGGGAGTAAGTGCGTCAAATCCTACTTTTCATCTACCTTGGATGGGCGATGGGACTATTTGCACATTGCGGTTGAACTCTTCCAACTTCAGCGGTCTTCAAAGGGTCTGGTTCCATCGCAGTTCTTCAGCCGGATCACTGGTCTTTGGCCCCAGGTCAGTACTGGTGAGGCTGCTGCCCCGCACCAGCGATGTTTTTTATGATCTCCTGGTTGAGACCCGCCGTGTTTGGTAGAGGCAGGGCCACCTCAGGCAGGATGCGACATAGGTCGCGCACGGACGGTCTTGGGAAGAGAGAAGGTTTCAGTTCTTATCCTCGACTATTCCCCTGGGGTTGGAGAAGTGGGAGAACCCATACTGCAGGTCAATCCTAGATAAGGGTACTGCTTCTCCCCAATCACTTGGGGTCCCTCTTCATTCATTAATCTCATACATTTTTTTGTTTTTGTTGTTCCTGTACAAACTAATTTATAGATAAACAACGTATGGCAGATCTTTTCAATGTTCATGAATTTTTTTTTTATTGAAATAACAATGAACTTAAGAATTAGTGCATGTGATCGAAAGAATGTTTATCTAGTCAAAATGTTTAAAAGAAAATTTCAAAATTTTCCATCCTTAGCTCTGTCGAAAAGGATCTTCTTTAAGTGGTTAACCTATAGATGGATGTTCATATGTAAGTAATGAAACTGTGACTTGCTTGACCTTCATGCTCTTTTATCTAGTATTAAGAAATATATAACATAAACCAGTATATTGATGAGGAATCTTACAAGTTCCAAATTTTCAAAAATCTGGTGTGGTGTGCTCATCACCCAACTTTCATTTACAATCATCCTTTGAGTAAAAATAAACATTTTCTCATAAGGAGAGTGAATGTAAAAATTGTAGATGATATAACATTAATTTAAAACAATTAATTATCATTTGTTTTTCCACACACCTAATCCACAAATTTATGCATTTTTTGTTACTGTCCAGTTCCTTCTGCGATTGTACATTTTAATTATTTATTCAATTATGAGTGGTACGATTTTTTTTTAGCCTAACAAGGGTTCAAAGGCAGAAATTTTGAAAAGTTGGCATTCAAGCCATGTTATAATATTTCAACGAGGATAATACCTGCCTGATATTAAAGGTCAATTGATTTTATATTTATATAACAAGTTTAATCAAAATTATAAAAATGTGTAAAAACAATTTTAAAAAATGCCATTCTGATTTGTCAATTATAACGAAAGAAGTTGCTCAGGAATGTCTGTACCTTTAATAAGTAATTTTAGTTTCATCCAACTTTGTTTGTTCCACCTGTTCCATCTAACTGTTCACAAACACAGAGACCATTTTGTGAAGCTTGATTATTTAGACTCAGGAAATATCAAAACATATTTCGTTCGAACTCTTGAATTCAAAAATTTTCATCATTGCAATACTTTCCCTTACTATACATCTCATAAAATGAAAGAAAAAAAAATTCAACTTTTCACTTTATATATCTATATATACATATACAAGGAGTGATTGCAGATCCCAAGCGCTACAAAAAATTTCGTATAAACAATGAGCCAATTTTCAGCAGAAAAGTAGGAAATCCAAGTTTTGTGATTTTTTTAGTAAGTTGGATTTTTTCAATACAAAGTTTCATCAATATATTTTCGAGTATGAATAAATAAATAAATAAATATTATGAAGCTAAAGTTAAATTAACCACAGAATACAAACTAAAAAGCCGAAAAGCAATAGGTAATAAATTTAACCTACCGTATTCAGATTTTTCAGGTAATTGTTCGAAATCTTATAATTTTGTTGCAGGAGACCACAACATTAAAAAAGATAACTAAAATTAAATTAAAACAATATATATTTTATTTATTTCGATTAGATATTTTTATTTATTTATTGAAAAATAAATTAATCCTTCCTATTTTGTTTTTTATTCGAAGGAAAAATCAAAAACACTTATAAACCCGAAACACAGTGGCCTAATCTTAAAATGTAAGTCTTTTAAAAAACTAAGGCTCCGGCATCATAAAAGTAGACCTTTAAATTGGATAAATTCGAAAAACTTGAATAAGTCGAAACGCAGTGGCGTAATCTTAAAATGGAGATCATTTTCAAAATCTACGACTCCGGAAACATAATAATACACTCTTTTATGGTAAAAATTCGAAACACTTAAAGAAATCGAAACGTGATGGCCTAATCTTTTAATGGAGGTCGTTTTCAAAATCTACGGCTCCGGAAACTTTTAGAATGCACCCTTTTATGAAAAAAATTCGAAGCACTCAAAGAAATTGAAACGTGGTGGCCTAATCTTAAAATGGAGGTTGTTTTCAAAATCTACGGCTCCAGAAACATATGAATACACCCTTTTATGAAAAAAATTCTAAACACTTACAGAAATTGAACCGTGGTGGCCTGATCATAAAATGGAGCTTATTTTCAAAATTTACGGCTCCGAAAACATAAGAATACACCCTTGTATCGAATAAATCAAAAAAACTTAAATAGGTCAAAACGCAGTGGCATAATCTTAAAATGGAGGTTATTTTAAAAACTAGGTACAGGACAGCATAATACTAGTCCCTAATAAATCCGAATAGGTACAATAAATCGATATCCGTAAGTGAAAATTCTACTTAGGAGAGCATAATAATAGACCTTCATATTGGAGGGGGGGAGGGGATGGCCATTATTTAAAAAAATATATAAAATTTACAAAAAATTAAAACATTAATTTGAAATGAAAACGGTTGAATTTGAATTGCAAGAGATTTAATTTGAAATGGAAATGGTTGAATTTGACTTGGAAATAATTGAATATGAGATAGAAATATTACACTGAAAAAATCTAAAATGTTAAAATAAATGGATATGTAACCGCATTATCAACATTTTTTTTGTATTTTTCAAAAGCTATCCCTTCGATAATATAGTAAGTGGCCTTCATTTCGAAAAAAATCAAAAATTGACAAAAATTCGAAAGTTGAATTTGACTTGGAAAAGGTTTAATTTGACTTGGAAAAGGTTGAATTTGATTTGGAAAAGGTTGAAATTGACTTGGAAATATATATATGTTTATATATGTTAGGTTACGTTTTCTTTGAAAAGTAAACAAAACAGTTTCTTAACCAAGTCATATTTATTTTACCCAATAATTATTTCTCATTTTGGGTTGAAACAACAAACACATTCCTTTATTATACAATATAAAAGCAAAATTTAATTTTATATAACATTTATGAATTTCCATTATTTGTCGGGGTCTACTCTTGGCGCGCTTTCGAACTGTCACTATTCATATTTCACTCACCCTGTTCTGCAGTGAATCTTCCTCTGTATTGTTGTATTCAACTTCTACAATCTTCTATTCTTACTTTGTTGAAACTCACTATTTGTTAGTCATATTTTCTTCTATCGATTCTCCTTACTAGATGGCTGGCTACCTTCTTCCTTAACATATAGCTCTTGCTTCCCCTTCCATCTGTCGTTGTCCATTTTTGACAGTAGTTCATGACGTTACTGCCTTCGTGTCACTATTCAAAATCACTATGTAATATTTACATTACAATATATATATATATATATATATATATATATATATATATATAGTAATGCAATGTTAAATGTTTTGAAAATGTGAAGCATCTAAGATTTCCTACCAATTTACTGATTTATTTCAACTATGAGTAATGTTTGATTCTGTTTTTATTTATCTATTGATAAATTTGTATATACCATATAATTTGTTGTCCAGTTTGAAATTGAAATGCTTGAACTTACAGTTCAAGTTTTCAATACTAATTAAATTACAATTTAGATTGTATGTTTTATTTATGTCTTGAATTTTAATTAAATTTGAATATTGTTTAGATTGAAAGAGTAACTAAAGAACAAGTTCATTATGCAAGTCTTGGTGTTGGAGAAGGAGGCTGGCAACTTTTTGCCGAAGAAGGTGACATGAAAATGTACAGGCGTGAAGAAGAATTAAATGGATTAGTCATTGATCCGTTAAAGGCTTGCCATATCGTTAAAGGAGTCACTGGAAGAGAGATGTGTCATTATTTCTTTAGTCCACAGTATAGAAAAGATTGGGAGAGTATGTTATCTTTCATAACTAGATTTTATTTCTTTTTGTCAATGGAATTAATCCTGTCTTGTATAGAATTATGTTTTTTGTTAATTTTCCCGATTAATATTGCTTATTACTTAAAAACAACAGAAAATATTCCAATTGTTATTTTATTGAGAACAAATATTTATGAGGCAGTGTATCTTGGGTCCTTACATATTCTTACTACCAATACTTTTGTATCTTGTATTGATGAAACAGCCTTATTGCTCATAGCTTGAAGTGGCAGCTTTATCATCTAAATTCTGTCTGCCAGATTGAACATTGATGCAAACAATGATGGGTTAAAGTTAATACATAAAATTTAAAGCTTTTTTTTTTATTCTCCCTTTTCTCGCCTTTTAGGCTGAATGGGGATTTTCCTGGGCCAGGGGGTGAGGGCATGGGATTAATGCCCGAGTTTAACCTCCCCGGCACCTGGACACGAAGGAGTTCATGAGTTTGCCATTCAATAGCAAGCGAATTGTGGTCAAACTGTAACAATGATAAACCTTTTATGACTTCAAATAAATAAAATAAAAGGTACTTTGAAGGAATGTTGAAAATTCTGCATTTAAATCCTGTCAGACTATTTCAATGGGAATAAGACCTACCGGATATTAAAGAACAATTGATTTTATACTGATATAACGAGTTTAATCAAAATTGTTGACATAAAGTGCCTCGACTGTTCCCTGTACATATAAACATAGAGCTTTTGCAAAAAGTAATTTGGACTCAGGAGACTTCAAAACTTGTATTTCCTTTGAAATCTCAAATTAAAATTTTTTTCACAATAGCAATACTTTTCCTTACTATACAAAAATTTCATATGTATGTAAATTCAGATATTTACTGAATTTAATAACAGGTGATAATGATATAATTACTATTGTGCACTGTTGTGTATAATCATCATGTACCTTTAGTTATAATTATTTTTTAATTAACGGTTTGTATTTTAGCAACGTTGGAACAGATGACAGTTGTGGAAAAAATTTCAGACAACATTCTGGTATTTCTTCAAGTCCATAAACGTGTATGGCCAACAGCACAGAGAGATGCATTATTTTGGTCACATACTACACACATGACAGACCCTAAAGATCATGATGGACATGATATATGGGCTGTAGTGAATCATTCAACTCAGTTACCTCAATACCCAGTAATAACTTATTAATTTATTATTATTATTTATATGTTATTATTTTAAGGTTTTGAGAGATATATGAACTCTTATGATTAACAGTTTTATTTTTGTAAATAATGTTGATATGGACATGATTATATTTTCGCTCACTCTGACGGCACTGTAATTCATGAAAGATCTTGGCCTCCTTAACATTATCCTTCACTTGTAGCGCTCCTTGGCAGCTCTTCTCCATTCTGTCACCCCCAGATGAGGTAGGTCAGCCTCGACATCTTCCAACCACAACTATCTTGGTCTACCTCTTTCTCTTTTACCATCTGGGCGTCCCTCTTTTATCTTCCTCCTTAACAATTCTTAAACTTGGTAGTCTTTTCCTGATCCATTCAATGTACATATCCCAACCATCTTATCCTTCCTTATTTGATACACAAAACCAAATTTGGGCCTCCATACAGGTCCATACAGAATCCGCCAAGTGCCCTGTTTGTTTTTATTATGTATCCATTTTTGACTTTGGTTGGACCATATATTTTTCTCAGGATTTTCCTCTCTCATGTATTGAGAAAACTCTCCTGTCGCTTCGTAATGGTCCACACCTCACTAGTTAAGTAACACTAGGGATACGGATTTTTACGGGGCTTCTCTGTTTCACTCCATTTTGTATGGCAAAGTTGATGGACAATTCTTCTTGGACTCTTGACTATACTCCTATTGTACTGTAAGGTCATTCTTATCATCCTAATTAGTTTTAGGGTGCAGCCTAAGATTCATAGGTATTTATAAAGCTCATTTCTTTTGATTTTTTCATATGCCTGCCAGTATTCTATGAAAAGATGATGTTTGAGATTCCATCCATAGCACTCCTCCAACATGATCCGTGTTTGGATTGGTGTATTTTAATTTTTTTATAAATTGTAATAATGAATATATGCTCCGTTTCTCCTCATATAGTGCAAGGTTATTAATAGGTATTAATATAATATAAAAAGTAAATTTATGAAACAGTTGATGATGGTGCACATGTCAAATACTATCACGATTGTAATTAATTTTTTTTTTAATATTTCATTTGGGAATGATTTTGAGAATTATTACTATTTTTATATCGAGGGATGAGGATTCCTTTACCATGACCCTTTTGGATTTTTTGTAAGATTCCCCTCTGATTTTGAGTTACATTAATGACCATGCTGATAATGTAGTCCAGTTACAGTTACAGTTTTCTATCATAAGTAGGAGTGAGTATTTTAACATTATTATAGGTATTGTATTGACTATATATCCTTGATAAGAAGTCTTGCATAGGTGATTCTAGGCTCATTTGACAGTGGGGGTTACAGGAAATATTTAACCATCTAAAGTTTTTTTTTTTTTTTTTTTCTTATAAATAATTCATTGAAATGACAGTGAGGAGCTTCTTTCCCCTGTTTTACAGTCTTTAAGATAAATAGAAGACCCTTTGACATTAGGAAAGGCGAACCAAAGTATGTTCAACACTAGCACTCCCCTCAACTCGTTAATCAAGGCTGTACAAGCTGTCAGTTTTTATGAAGCGTTTTCTAAAGTGTATTTATCAACACTTGTTCCCCTTAATGCACAGGCGGATCTATAAGGGGGAGGAGAAGGTTTTCAGGCAGAAGCCTCCAAAAATGGAAATGTTTTTTTCATTGGTCCATATTTGTTCCATATCCTTATTTGAAGCTCTCCAAAATTAAATGCTGTATTTTATTTATTTTTTGCCAACTCTTCCTTACCTTCAGGCTACACAGAGAGTGGATGGGAGCATTATGCCAAATTTAAAGTCCTACCGGGCACCGAGATTTGAGTTCATAATTATTTTTCTAACTGAAACTGATCTACCTTACCTGAAAAAGGATCTACTAGTTCTTTTTTGCTGGAGCATAGGGCATAGAATACAGTAAAAGTAGCCTTAGGAAGAGACTGACACAAGATAAACAGTCCCCCATCCACTCCGTCAAACTCAGCCTTTCCATTTTCGCTCATATTACCCAAGAGGTTTATTGTTATATTTTCAAATTTTGAATTATACTGGAGAAAACGTTATCAGTTTGGACTTAGTGATATGTTCTTGCATTACTTATATCATGTTTGCTGAAAAATTATGCCTTACTCTTTAAATGTTATTTTCTATATATCTATTTATTATTTATTTAATTTTTATGTACATTGTGTAGGTTTTATTGTATTAAATATAACCTACACAACTTGACAACTAATTACTCTAATTCTAAACATCATTTCTTGTCCTTAAGTAGTAAAATTTTGTTCAAAATGAATGTTTATGAATTTTTTCATTAAAATAATTACGGATTCTCATTTAAAAAAATAATATTTCCTATGGAATGAATCAAATAGGGATAGTGATTCTGTTCTTTTAAAAATGTTTTTTGAATCATAAAATAAATTTCTCTTTTTTTCTTTTTCTTAATGATTAGTTTAGCATTTTATTTTGTCCAGAAAATTAGTTCTCGAATGTTGTTAATTACAACCAAAAACAAATTTTCGTACAATGAATCCTTGAAAACAAAAACCAAGGAAAATTGGTTAAGAAGTTTGCCATAATGTGTATTTCTTACATCATTAACTCTGTTTCCTTATCTGAAATCTAATATAGTATGTCATAATCTAATATACTTTGTCATAAGTAATATCTGTGAAAATTCCATTAAGATCTGTTGATCGTGAAAAGTGTATATAATCAAGATAATTGTAGCCCATTTTGGAATTGTAGAGTATAAATAATTTTGTGGAATAGTTGTGTCCCAATAAAACAGAATACAATCTATTCTACACGTCATGTTAACTACCATTTCATTTAGAGTGATATCATCTATCGTAATGTTCTTTATTAAAGTTTTTTTTTTTTGTATGGTGTTTATTTCCAGATCGGCTTAGTGAGCCATACATTAACAATAGATAAATTTTTTACAATATTACTCAATTCTTCTTCGGTGCATACTATTTATTTTCAAGTTAATTTATTATTAGCCATATTTACACCAATTTAAAAAAAATTTTTGTCACTTAATGACTACTCATCAAAATGACGACGTTTCGGCTCGTCGAGCCATTTTCAAGCCTAAAAAAATTTTTTCATTTACAATCATATATTAACTTTAACATATTTCAAATTATAAAGATACTTATTATGTACCTAAAATACCCATCATGTACCTGTCATTTTCACTTATGCGAATTGCAAGCGTCTACTCATAATAAAATTCCTTATTATTGTCATGTTCACCTTTAATTATTTAACAACATTATTATTACTCAATTCTTTACTATTAAATGATTCAAAATAAGTTAAATTTACCTTGTTTCTGAGTCACCCACATGTCATCCATCTCATTTCTATTCAGTGACTGGTTATTCTTATAGGAGTAGGGGAAGACTATTTATTATGAACATATATAATGCTGTTACTCAATATTACATGTGGATCTATTTTAAGTAATATTAGCTGATTTATTTCAAATTTTGATTTTTTCAATAGAACTAGCGTAAAAAGTATTCATATTATCCACGTCTGTATGATTATTTACTGAGTTTTTTAAGTTTTTAGTTATGGATATTGATTCTTTAATTCTACGTTTATTCGTATTTCTTTCATTATGTAGGATTTTGGCATTTTTGAAATCAAACTCATGTTTAGTTTGCATATTATGTTGCAAGAGTCCAGTAGCTAATTTAATTTTTGTGTTTTTTGAATTACAATTTTGTTTATGCTGTTTAAGCCTTTTTTCAAACCATTGGGATGTCTGTCCAAAATATGCTTTGTTGTTGCAATTCTTACAATTTATTTTATAAATAATATTCGTTAATTTATCGATAGGTACTTTATCTTTAGTTTTCGAATAAATTGTATCTAATTTATTAATTGGTTTGCTTGCAAATTTAATTTCATTTACATCGTATTGTTTAAATGTTCTTTCAATTTTATCAGTTAAGTTTCTAATATATGAGACGCTAAAATATTTTTTAGGTTGTTGTTTGTTCCCATTACATTTTTCAATTTGTTTCTTAATGTCATGTATATCGTTCATGGAAGGTTTTTGTTTTACTGCATTTTCAGTTTTAAAATAATTTGTTATTAAATTCGGTTCTTTATTAATTTTAATATTTTGCTTCACTTTCTCACTCCTATCATCGCTAATATCAATAATCTGTTTGTTACTATTGTCATTTATAATTAACTTTTTATTTTTATACCATAATTTATTTATTAATCGAATGGGGTACCAATTTTCTAATAGAATTTGATATATTTGTGCTTTGATTTCTTTTATATGATTTTGATCTGTTATTAATTTTGCCTTATTTATTAAATTTTTAGCTGTGTTAATTATTATATGTTTCTTGTGGTTACTGTGCCAATTTAGGATTCTATCACTAGTTATTGTTTTTTTGCACCATGCCATGCTAAGATCGCCGCTTTCGTTTCTGTGAATATACATATCAAGATATCTTATTTTGTTGTTATTCTCAATTTCCATTGTGAATTTTAGTTTATCTGATATATCATTTAGTTTATCAAGAAAATTAACAGATTCATTTTTATTTATTATTGCAAGTATATCGTCAACGTATTTTATAATAAGCTTCGGTTTTTTTCCCCATTTAATTATAGCATTATCTATTAGATTGTTCAGATATATGCCCGAAAGATTGATTGACATACATCCGCCCATCGGTAGACCATTTTTCATTTTGTAATAATTATTATTATAGGAGAAATAGCCATTTTCGCAAATTAATTTGATTCCTTCCATAAAAACGTTTTTATCTTTTATTTCTGTGTACGGTTCTATTTCATCCCATCGTTTTTCCAGTATTCTATATATTTCATTAAGTGGAACATTCGTAAAAAGGGATTCCGCGTCATAGCTTACTAGATTTTCGTTTTCCTCTATCCTATTTATACTATTAATTTTTTCTTTTACTTGCATTGCATTCTTCACATCGTATATATTATTATTGTTTAAATTGTTTAAGGCTGAGTTTAGGAATTTAGCCAATTTTTCAGTAATGCCGTTTATATTATTTACAATTGGTCTAAGAGGTCTGTCATTTTTATGTAATTTGCTCAGACCATGTATTCGTGGTATTGTATAATGTCTAGTTATGAGTTTTTCTTTATCCTTTTCATTTATAAATTTCATTTTCAATAATTTATTTATATATGTCAAGGTTTTATCCTGGATTTCATTTGAAGGATCTTTCATAAGGCATCTATATATTAGGCGTTCATCCAGTAGGTTGTGCATTTTTTTATCATACTCAATCTTAGTAATAATCACGGTTTTCTTAGTTTTATAATTAATAATTCTGGATTGTTTTTAAAAAAAAATTTTTGTTTCTATTATGTCTTTGTTTATTTTTTTGTGTAGGGGTTGGTTTGAGATATTTTGTTTATTATTATTTTTGTCAATAAAATCATTTATGTGGTTATTTACTCTATTTCTAATTATATTTTTGTGATTATCAGGTGTGTTGATAGTTCTAATTATATTTTCGACATCCGCTATTATATTAACTATTTCCCTGTTGTATTTATAAGGTATAATGTTGAATTTATCCCCTAATGATAATAGATTTAATATGTTTATTGTAATATCTGTTTTAGTCGTATTAACCACCCAACCTTTTGTGTGCAATTCTTCATAGGATTTCATGATGTTATTACGGTTTATACAATGTTTATTTGTGAGTCTATTGTCCAAATTCTTAGTCATAATGGATACCGTATTATTATATTTAATATCAGCGTATGGTTTTTTAATAAAGGCTTTATATGGTCTTTTACATTTCTCTTCTAATCTCAATCTATGGAATTTAACATAACTATTTTTGTAATTCGCAATTAGTTTATTAACCTCATTATATATGTTCAAATGTATGTCCCTTAATTCATTTAAAAATATTTCATGATTTTTGTTATAGGTGTTTAATGCCCAATAACATTGTTTTATTTCAAGTAGTAAACAATCTCTTGCTAATTTATTAAATAAGTTATTTGTTTTTTCTTTATAATTTGTCAGAAATGAGATATTAAAAAGATTTTCCAAAGGTAAAATTTTTTTCAGCAAGTGTTGCGGTATCGTGTCCGAGTATTTACATTTTTTAATTAAATTTAATTAAGTGACAAAAAATTTTTTTAAATTGGTGTAAATATGGCTAATAATAAATTAACTCGAAAATAAATTTTTTAACATTTGACTGTGAGGGTATAGTCTCTTACAAAAGAAATCCCTAATGATACACAATGCATATAACTATGGATTAGTAAAGTTTGTAAAATACATGAATAATAATGAGTTCTACCAATGGGTAGTTTCTCTTCAAGTTGTACATGTCATGTTATCAATGTCACATTTACTTGTTGTATTTTCCATGTAATACAGTTGTAAATTTCATTAAAATAAATAATAACAAAAAAATTAAAGTAAAATATGAAAAATAATGTAATATAATATGTATATAATTGAAATAAAAGAGTTCACATTAGAAGATCTTGCACAAGTCTTGGTTTCAGTCTACGGAGACTACCAATGCGGATTTAGACGGAATCGTTCGACAATTGATCAAATATTTTCTTTACGACAAATATTAGAGAAAAAATTGGAGTATAACGGTATTGTTCACCAGCTGTATATAGATTTTAAAAAGGCTTACGATGCTATTGACCGCCAGAAACTGTATAATATTCTAATCGAGCAGGGGATTCCAAAAAAACTAGTAAATCTAGTCAGGATGTGCTTGACAGAGACACTCAATAAAGTTAGAATCGGTAATAATTTGTCCGAAAAGTTTGAGGTTCGTTCGGGTTTAAAACAGGGGGATTCTCTTTCGCCTGTCCTGTTCAATTTGGCATTAGAACATGCCATTAGGGTGGTAATGCGTACCGAGAAAGGGTTGGATCTGGGCGGAACAACATCCGTGCTGGGCTATGCTGATGATCTAGTACTGTTAAGCGAAGACATTGAAACTATAAAACTAAATATAACAACCTTAATGAAAGCCGGTAAAGAACTAGGACTCGAAATAAACGTGGATAAAACAAAATATATGGTTAGCTGCAAAAATGGCGATACTACTGGTGATATCGATATAGATGGTAATATGTTTGAACAGGTAGAGAAATTTATGTATCTAGGTTCTATGATAACTAGAAAAAACGAAATTGAAGAAGAGATTAAGGTTAGACTGAAGGCGGGAAATGCTTGTTACTTTTCTGTGACAAAACTACTTAGTTCGCGCCTCTTGTCCCGGAACTTAAAAATTAGAATCTATAAAACAATTATCTTGCCTACAGTTCTTTATTGATGCGAAACTTGGCCGCTTACATTAAGGGATGAGCAGCGTCTTAAGGTTTTTGAAAATAAAGTATTGCGTAGAATATTCGGACCAAAGAAGGATGAGTCAACCGGAGAGTTCAGGCGGTTACACAACGCCGAATTGCGTGAGCTGTATCCGGGTAATTTAATTGAGGTAATTTCATCGCGCCGAATCAAATGGACTTGTAAGTAAAGTTGTTGGGCTTAGTAACGAGAGAATTCCTAAAAGGTTAGTATGTGCGGTGCCGAATGGTAAGCTTCCGAGGGGTAGACCGAAGCAAAGGTGGGAAGATTGCATTAAAGCCGATCTGAAGGGACTGGGTTTGGACGGCGAACGGTGGAGGGAGGTGTGTAATAAGCGATTGGTGGTGTCGGCATTGAACCTTCGGGTTCGCTAAGCCTTTTATTATTATTATTATGTTGTAAGCTGCAGCACCTTAACTGCTGGTAGACTCTAGCTAACATAAGTTTCATAAGTTTGAGGGTGAGTAGAGGGGGTTGAGATGGCAAAACAGTGGCAAAACATTTCACCGCCTATCCCCCACTATTTTGTCTTCTCTACTCATTCATACGTACTTATAAATTTTTGTTTACAAGTAGAAATTTCTTTTATCATTTTTTTTCCATTTCTTTTATCAATTTTCATTTATTATGTCATGTAAACGGGGTAGAGGGAAAACTATCTACTCTTAGACAAAAAATGTTATTTTGAAAGTATATAAATTTATGATAACAGAGGCTGGGAGTATTTTTTTCTTAATTTGACTATTTAATCATACTTGTCATTGTTTTATTTTATTTTTTAATTAAAATCCCTACCTTTAATAAACGTTAGAGCGAAATTTGAAGAAAATGGAATAACGCTTTCTCGGTATAAGGTGGTTGCTGTCATTAAGAGGGAAAGTGGAGCTGGAGAGAGGTGAAACTTGTCTTGGGGAGGTGAAACTTGAGTGGGGAAAAGCTGCACGAGCTCTTTTCCCCTACACTCAAACTTAAATCGGATGTACTTTAACTAGGAATGATATTTGGTAAAGCATTTTTTAGTGAATTCATCTATTGTAACAAAATATATAAAAACAATGTAATTTGTTTATATATTCTAGTTTTGTTATAAACATAGTTAAATTAGCTGGATCAAAAGCATTGAATTGATAAAAGGTGCTCAAATTGAGTGTGGCAGATACTATGAGTGAAATATGCCTTTGTTTCTGTGCGCTTTAACAGCCGCTTACCCATCTCAAATATTAACGTGTCAACATAAGGTACATAGGAAATTTAATGCTCTTTCAAATTGATTATAAGAATTTTTTTGAAAGATCCGTAAATTATGGATTTTGGAGAGGGGGGAACTAACGAAAACAGATATTTCTTGTAAAATAAGCCATCAGTCAACATGCCCTAACTCCTCAACCATTGGTCCTACATCAAAAAGCTAGATATAAAATTGATATCAGATTTTATCTTCTTCAACTTTGTAATAGTAATAATTTTGATAAAATTCATAGTTCCGAATCATGTCCGGAAAACTAAAAAACGTTATGGAATTTCGCTGTTGTTTGCATATTTTATACTTTTTTGCATGTATCTTAGAATATAACGTAAAATTTTGTTCAGGATCATCAAATGCATACTCAGCATCCCCAAAAAATTATAACCCGAAGAGAAACTGATTATTTGATTTTTTTTTTCCCATCCAACTACCATTTGACTTAACTAATTTGATGATTTTGACATCAATCTTTTGTGCGCTCTAGCAGCCAAACAAAAAAATATAGTGAGCAGATTCTAGGTTCATTTTTCAGGAAATTTTATCAGCTTTCTTTTTGGTATAATTGCCTTTTCTCTTGGATGCGTCATTTTTTAGTTATACACAAAAAACTAAAACAACTTCCGAAATGTTATGGTTTTTTTGCTATTTTTATGGTAAGTTATATCAGAATCTAGTAGATAACTCGATTTTCAGATTCAGCACAGCACGCCAATAAATATATATAGCCATTTAGGAAAATTCTTCAGTAATTTTTTCTTGGGTTGACTACTTTCCGTCAGCAAATGACTGGGTTGTAATACCAAGTCAAGACTAATGTGAAATTTGATCTGAGAAAAACTTCCTAATCCCACACAGCTTAATGGTTTTCTTTTTATATTAACAATCTTATTGAGTTATATTATTTACTCAATAAAACTTATGGTGAGTTGAAATCACTCAGTTGTTCGTAGGTTGAATTAAAAAGTTGAATAAAGTGCTCACAGTTTAATGTTGATTTATTTAATTACCAATCAGGATAACTTAATGTATTGTTTACTTATTTTTGTAAATATTAACATTGTAGTAATATTTACTATATAATATTTTAACAATAATTTGCTTGTTAATTTGTTTTTAGCAAAAAAGTAACAAATGTGTTAGAGTAGCTCTTACTGTTTGTTTATATTGCCAAACACTGATTACACCACCTAAAGATGGTGCACAAGTTTCTCGAGATGATATTACATGTAAAATTACGTATTGTGCAGTTGGTATGTTTATTTTTTTATATTTATTTTGATTTATGTAAGTATCATTCTTATAGGTCAATAATATATATATTCTAATTCATGTTTTAGTTAACCCTGGTGGTTGGGTTCCTGCTTCTGCCTTACGGGCACTTTATAAAAGAGAATACCCAAAATTCTTGAAAAGGTTCACTGCATATGTTATCACTCAAACAAAAGACAAATCAATAATGTTCTAACTTGAATTCCTCTTAATGTAATGTATCATGTATTTTTTTAAGTGCTTAAAAAATATATATATATATATATATATATATATATAAAATGTAATTCAGTATATTCAGATGCATTGTAAGTTAAAAATTTATTTTTTGTAATTTCTTTTTTAATGTTTATATTAAATTACATTGTGCTACCTGACAATTTTCAATAACATGATATATAAACATCTAGTTTTGTCATCCAAATGTTTTAAGTACATTATATTTGTCAGCTTTTTGATATTAATAAATAAAATATATGACATTCATATGATTTTAATTTAATTTTATCAGTAATTTTTACTTTCAGTTGATAATGTTGAACAAAAAAACACAATAAACATGTATGTATATACTAAAAATGTTTAGTTGTGCTTAAGTGGGATTAATTAATACAGTGTTTGAAATATCACATTTTAATTTAGGGTGTTATTATCTATTGAGCATGGAAATGTATGTAAATTATCAATAACAAACATTCCAATTCTTTAGGTAGTATTCTAAAACTGCTCAAAATAATAATAATAATAAGGCTTTACAGGCCTGGAAATTTGATACATCAGGCTTAATACCATTCTCCTGGGTTTACTGTTATGTAGGTTTACAGAAAAATAGTAAAATGGCAGCAAACATACTTTATATTATTATTATTATTTGTTTTGTTTTTCTTTTTTGGGGGGAGGCTCCATTTTGTGAAATATGTAATGGCTTTTTGGCAGCTTGTATTGGTTATTATATTTTAAGGATACTTGGATTTCATGTTATAAAATATTTAATACCTCATATAAAATAATCAAATATCATTTTAAATATGTAAATATATATTAATAATTTCAAGATAACTTTTTTAATTATTAATATATTTTGATATTATTTCAACCATTTTCATCTCCCTATTATTTCAATGTATTAATAATGAAACATGGGGCTCAATAACTATTGAATGAAAGAAGTTCTCAGCAATTTAATGGAATGATGACTGTTAACTTGTTGAGAATGCTACTTATATGGTAGTACTTTGTCAATCCTCAATTCCAGTTTTATATTCTAGGCTGCTACTTATTTTTCCAAAAAGTTTCTCATTTATAACCACAAAGCTGAATTAGACTGGTCCATATGAAAAATCTTTTGGTATTTGTCAATAGTTGTAATTGTTAATTGATATAAGAAGGATTAAATCTGAAATAGATTGTTTTTTTTCTTTTTAACTGACTATAGCATATGATAAGCAAATAAAGTGAATGATTTATTAAGCTTTCATTGATAGAAAATGAAACTCAGTTATTGTATTGAATTTAAATTTTAGTTCAGTTCCTGTGAAGCTATGGTTCTCAATTATCTTTCTTGATCCATAATTTCTTAAGTTTTTTACTAACAAATGGTTTATTTTATTATTTTCATATCAACATGTAAAAACATGCCATGTAAAATTTTCAAACTAATCTTTTCATTTATTCAATCTAGCATTAAACTTATATTTGATGCAAGGTTCCCTTAAGTGAATTAACCAGTTTTTGTTTAATAATTTGTTTGTTAAATATTTTCTTTAACCTATTATTTTATTCATGCATGCTAAGTGCACCTGTTGATATTAATTAACAATAAATATAACCTGAAATAATAGTACTTTTGATTTTTTTTCCTTATATCTCATTCAATAGTTTACTTTAAAAAATAAGTTAATACAAAAAGATAAATAATGAAGATGATTCAGAGAAATGCTTAAATTGAATGGGCTAGATGTGATTAAAACTTTAACGCATGCTATTTAAAATGTTGAGTTGTTAACATTTGTATGTCTCAATTTGTTTTGTATGGATACTGTGTTTAAATATTTTTCTTATGTGTTAATTAATTATGCACATCCACATACTTCATTTGAAGTGTATTTCCTATTTTTTATTTATATTATTGTACTACACCATTCAAAATAGCTAAATTAATACATATTTATATTGGTGTGTATATATGAATGTAATAGTTTACTTATATATCTGTGTGGTTGTGTGGGTATATATTTACTCTGGCTATGAAAAAGTATAAACTCAGATATTTTTGACTCATTAAAGTCTGAATTATTTTTAATTATTAGAAATTGCACTGATTTTTATCCCCTCCAACAATCTCCTGGGTACACTTTTTATAAAGTTTATCTAGCTACCTTTTGGTTTGTTTTTCTAAACTAGTGTGATATTTTTTTTTAAAGATCTATGATATTTTTGGTCATAGATATCTCTAGTCTTGAGTTTTTCCAATTTTTAAGGGTGTCAAGGCTGGCCATTCCAAAACATTAATGTCTGAAAATCTCAAACCATTGTTTCATGAACCCTGTTGTGTATATTGGTACATTATTTTATTTAAAAACTTTCTCATCTTCTAATAATGCAATTAACGGTAAATTATTCCAACACTTTTTGATTTTTTGAGACTGCCATTTTCATTGAAAACAGCTGTGATCTATGATTTGTTTTCCTTTCTTATGTCATTCCTAATTAAATCCATCAGGACCATCAAGATTAACAATTCTTTTACTTTAAAATCCTAGAACAAACTACAAGCCCTGTTGTAAGTGATGTTTTTTATTTATAATTACTATTTTTAGTATATTTTAAATACTTGTTTTGAAAAATCTACTTACTAAGCTGATAATGATTAAGCTGGCATTACACTTCAGGTCATATCTCAGCACAATCTGAACAGAAAAAAAAAACGGCTTTTGAGATAACCTCAATAATGCATGTTTTACTTAGCCAGATAATGTATGTAGGCCTTCCATCTCTTTATTTTCCCATTCTTATCTAGATCTTGAACGTTTTTAGTATATCCTGGGAGGAAGATCTTTGTGCCATCCCTGCTATTTTTAAGTCTACTATTTTTTGTTTCTAAATTTCACTTACTTGAGCCATGAATGACACATTCAAAGATTATTCTACTCTGTCTTCAATGTCAAAAGATGAGAAAAATATCATTGATTAATACCTTGAGTTTATATTTATTCACAATGTAAATAATGTTTATTCATATATTTTATTGTTAGATTATTAAATAGAGCAATCACCTTTAAATGCTTTTAATCTATGTAATAACACGAAATCTAGTTTAAATTATTGTTTGGCTGTTTTATTATTTTTTTTTATCTATTGAGTTAATACTTTTTCATAGGACAGTACTTAAAATACTTCAGGTGGACATACCAGTAATGGATACTTTGAAACTCGACCAAAACAAAAAAAAAGACTTAAATTTGATCTACTTCCTCAATGAAATATAATTAATAGTCTATACTGTCTAGTATCAGTTTTTATGACTTGCAGACAAAACTTTACGTAACCAACCTATCTCATTTTTAGTAATGCACATTCTGTTTATTTATTAAACACCGTACTGCACTGATATTTTATGATTCTGATTCACATTTAAATCTCCCTTGTTAATCATTCGTAATCCTTTAGTTGCAATTTATTTTTAGGTTTAATATAATTATTGCATATAGCTATATCAATAATTTGGATGTCCTCTATTGGATTAATGAAACCTATTATAATTAGTCATGGACATCTGTGAAAAAGATATATTAATGTTAAAAGAAATGATAACAAAAAAGCATCATTAATTACTGTCCATAACCAAAATTTAAGTTATTGCCCTGAGTTCCAAAGCTAACCCTTAACCAGACAAACTATTCTGTATACTTTTATTTTAATGAAACTTAATTACAAATTTCAGATATTAGTTGTAGGAATACAACTTTCAGTAATGAATTAGACAGATGATATATATATATATATCATTATTATAGTTCAAGTTTATTTAAGATAATTTTAATGTACTATTTTGATTTAATTTTTTAATGTAGTTTTATCAGTGTAGAAATCTTTTTTTTTTTCAATAATTTATATTAATTACTAATAAAATAAAAACTAGATATTTCAGTAAGTTACTTTTATTACTACTATTGATACATTAAGGTATCCACTACTGGTATTTACATTTTTAATTGTTTACTATAGGCATTTTGATCTTTTTAATTTTTTTTCTTATTTGTAGTTGACATTTAAATTCAAGGTCGTACAAGATATAATATGACTCGCATTTTTTTTTTTGTTTGTTTGTTTATAATAGTGTAATTTTTAAAAATAGTTCTATTTATGTTAAACTGTTCACAATTCGCTGTTAAAGTTAATTATGTACAGTTTACTATGAATACTATAGTTATATAAGCTGATGCTAAGCTAAGCTGCTGCCTAACCTTGGTAAATATAATTCTGAGTAAAAAATTATATATATTTTTACAGTGTATAGTTAAATTCAAAGATTATTGTACATTCTCTGTGAATTTGCTAGTCTCATTGTAATTTTAAGATGCTTGTGATCTATTTTTTCTTCTTTAAAATATTTATAGTTTAATTTTTTCATTACATTTTTGATGCAATTACTTCAGTCATAAATATATAAAAGTTGACCATTGAATTGTATAATACTTCTTTTGTTGCAGGAAATATTAGATGTTTGTGTATATGTATATGTATATATATATATATATATATATATATATATATATATATATATATATATATATATATATATATATATTCATAGATTTAATAATAGTGTCTCCTGAAATTTATTCATTTATTTGTATTTTTTATTAAAATATTATTTACCGACTTTTACTTTTAAATATTGGAAAGCAAATTGTATATAATTAGAAATGTCAATAAACACTTGGTTTACCGTTAAAGTTCTAGTTTATTTGTTATTTTTACTACATTCCTCAACTGTTCTAAAATTTAATTTTTCAATTAATTATCTTTTTTTGTAAAACTCTTGTAGATTCTACATTCATCGTACTTTAAGTGGTATTTTGCTCAACTAATGAATGTCCTATTTTTTTTTTTTAATTTTGATACATGCACCTCCTTTTGTATATAAATTTCATGAATGCAATTGTTTTTACTTTAATTATCTGTAAGTCACTAAAATCTTGGGGTGAAGGAAGTATTAATAAATGCACTGTTCAGCATTAGTTTCTAAAATATTTTCTCCAATTATTTTAGGTCGGGGATGCTTCTATACCTCTAAATGTTA